TTTTTTGACTTTTTCTTTAAATTATTGTAATTTTTTTAATTTTTTAAATTAAAAAGTAAAAGATAATTTATGTATTTATTTATATTACACTTTAAAAAATAAAGAGAAGCTTTTTATGATATAATAAATAATTAAACTAAGGGTTTTTCTAATATGTATTATTAGAGTAAAATTAAGGGTATATTTATTGTATTTATTGTATTAATTAATGTAACAAAATGAAAGTTTATATTGATTTTAACAATTGTCCAATTAAATTCATAAATATATATAGAAAAATGTGAGAGTTAAAATTAATTTTAGCATTATTGTCAAATTAATGAATTTAATTAAATAATTAACAAACTAATGTCAACTTTAATTTTTTCATATAAATTTATAATAAAAATATGTTTATTATATTTTTAGGATACATTTTGTAAAACCTTTTTTTAATAAATAAGATTTAATTACATATAAATCTTATATACAATATTTATATAAAATTTTAATTATTTATTATTTATTTTTAATAATTAAAATTTATTAAAAATTATTTTTTAAAAGTTATGATAAATCTTAAAAAAAATAATTAAAATATTATATAAATCTAATGTATAAAAATTTTTTGTAAGTGAATTTTTTAATTAATTTAACATGACAAGAAAAAGTTATAGAGATTTGCTGTTCCTAAGTCCGTTCCCGCGTCCAACCGGTTACTCTTCTATCGCATTCAAAGTAAGGCGACGTGGCCAAACGAATAGGCAAGTGTCTGTTGGCGAGTGCAAGAGGTGACGCCCTTAGCACTACCCCATAATTAATTAATCAATCACCTCAAAATGCTTTACTGTTCATGAGTGAAATTGGCGTATAATTTTAGCCACTTATTCGTGATTAATCGAAAACCAAAATGATTTTGTTTGTAATTTGTTAAACACACGATAAAATACGATAGAACAAATCTTGGACCCTACAGTCTTCATATTACTGCTTTAATATCATATATTAAAATTTAAAGATTGATATATATGTAAAATTTAAAATATTAAGATATAATAAAATAAATATATTAGGTATCTTAATTTTTATAATTAGTATATAAGATTATAATGTTATCAAGAATTAAAAAAAAATCATCATAATTCTGTTTCATGATTGAGGCTTAAGTCTTTTTCTTCTTATTTAATTTTTGTATAGTAACAATTAATAGGTCATATCACTTTCTAACCATATTATTTATAGAGGTCTAATTTTTTTAAATAAAAAATGAAATCTAATTTATTATAATAATTTTTTAACCACCTCATAAAACAACTCACATTTAATTTTAGGTTTACACCTATTCATAATATCATACCATATAAATTTGAGGTAAAATTTAGACTTATTTAGATCACATAATTTCATTAGGTTTTACTAATTTTTCCTTTGATCTAATTAAAAAAAGAAAAACAAATATAATAAGCTAAAATCCACATAAAATTTCCAACATGCATATATCATATCTCCTTTTTCTTTATTTTCTATTGTCAAACTCTTTGTAATCTCTTGCTGTTTTGGGTTGAATTTGCTGTTACAGTGGGACGGTTTTGTGTTGCTGTTGCACCATTGCCGGCTATTGCGGTGACCCTTCATCTTGTTGTAGCTGAGCCTATTAGTTATATTTATCGTATATTTCCAGTGCAATGATCCCGTTTCTGTTTCAGATGTGTGATTATATGTTTCATGTGTGACTGTATGTTTGAAGAAAAAGCTTGAATACTATTCTTGTAGGATCATATTTATTAGGGAAATGGTACAAATAATTTGTAAATTTACGTATTTCATTATTTATTGGTGAAAATTGTCAATTTTAATGATATAAATAATGAAAATCATTAGTTGTAATTGCATAAATAACAAAAATCATAACTTTTATGATCACAAATAACAAAAATATTTAGTGTGCAACAAAATATATAATTTTATAAGACATATATACTATTTTTCTTATCTATTAAGTGATGTATATATAATTTTACAATGTATAACTTTGCAGAGTACTATTTATTATTACAAGACTGCTTTGTTTTCTTCTTTCAATCTCTGGTATTTCTTTTCCCTTCCAGTTCCCTACCCCCTGATGCAATGGCGGAGATAAGGGGGGCCTGCGGGGCCCAGGGCCCCCCTAAAATATTGAAAAAAAAATTTATGTTAAAATTTAGAAGTTAAATAAATTTAGTATATATTTGTTCATTTCAAAAATTAAATAAAATATATTTAATCAAACATTTTAAACTTTAAAGGAGAATAAAAATTGTATAGCTCCCATTATATTTAATTTTTAAAGTTAATTAACTACATTTAGTTACTTTCCTTCTTTCATCCGAATTATTCATCAATTAACATTAAATTTTAAACCTAACACACAATAATACAATCTCTTTGGATAAATATATTTATATATAATCTCCATCAAAATTTCCGTACCTACCATTGACAAGGACGTAATGAGTAGAGTGTCCCGCCCTGTGGAGACTTATCGCCGTCGTACACCATTGACAAGGACAGTAATGAAGAGGGGGTCCCGCTATGTGGAGACCTGTTGCTGTTGCCATACTATGGTGCT